CATCTCATAGACTTTTATTATATTTCAATTTTAAAGTGAGTTATGAGTATTTTAAAATTATAAATGGTTTGTATGTCTTAAAATACTCAAATCGTCTTAAAATATAATAAGAATCCTATGAGATGCCCTGAATAATAATCTTACCTTTAAATTTTCCAAGAGAACTTTTCTGGAACGCAAACGAACTCAAAAGACATAAAAATGTATTAATAGCAACACTACAAAACAAAAGAATTGACGTCGCACTAATTTCTGAATTTAAAAAAAAAAATTAACCAACMCATCTACTCTTAAATTACCCGGCTATAAATGCTTTCACGTCTGCCATCCTAGCGACACAGCCCACGCTGGAGCWTCAATAATCATCAGATCCACACTCCAATTCTACACTTAACATAATTACCAAACCCAACATATACAAGCTTGTACCATATCTTTAACGCTGAACCACCGACTTATTACAATATCAGCAACGTACTACCCACAACGTCAGAATATAACACCAAATCAATTTAACGACTATTTTCATTATCTCGGATCAAAATTCGTAATAGGAGGAGATAAAAATGCTAAGCATACTCATTGTGGATGCCATACAAATAACAATCCCCGYGGTAACCTCTTACACCGTATAATAACACTCCAGCAATATAAAATACTCTTATCCCCTTCTCCCACATACTGGCCCAACTCCCCCAGGAAAAGATCTGACATGCTCGATTTTACATAACGAAAACCCTGTTCTGCTTACATTTGACACCCATTAAACCTCTCTCTCCTTCACAAATGGCCACATAAATTGGGAACRATTTAAACTTACTTTAGATAAACAAATAAATCTAAAAACTTGACTTAAATCTCCCTCMGATAKTGATGATGCAATTAACTCGTTGTTTACCACTTCCATCYAAACTGTCTTGGAACAGCCACCTGGTCTTCGTCTACTCCAATACCACCAAAATCCATAAATCAAAATCTCCCTACCTACGCTAGACATCTAATTGCTATTAAGCATCGAGCTAGAGCTAGCTGGTAAAGAACCCAGTATCCCTCTGGCAAACGCCACTATAATAATCTAACAAAAAAATGAAAACGCACCCTCTCCGAAATTCGAAAAGAAAGTTTTAATAAACATCTCTCCTCAGTCACCAAAAAAGACAACTCGATATGGAAAACTACCAAAAATATACTATACAAACTTATTCAAACTC